TGACAAAGTACCAAATTAGCAATATTCTTTCACCCTGATGTTTTAAAAAATATTCCACTACGTATAGGGTACATCCTCCTAGTATATACACTTGACCTGTAACAGTCACTTTGTTTCTAAATCACAACTATTAATTTCGAAGGCACTGACATTATTGATACTTTGAATACATTAAACAAGTGCAATCACTTTGAAGTAAATGCCCTGTGTGTCATTGATACCGTTTCAAACTGCATTATTTATTTTACTTGTGGGCAACTAATGCCCCATCTCTATTTTCACATACAATTAAACTTCCTTTACTTGACCTGGTTTGTTTCCCCAAATGAAACTGATCTATAACACAGTCAGGTGGGTCAGGTATTGCTGAAAACAAATGATTGAGGTTTGGTAATACTAACGATTTTAACGCTCTTCCCATGTCAGAAGAGTCAGATTTCTGATTGACCATATTGTCATCACTGTTTCACACTGTTTAAAGTTAGTTTTATAGATTGCTTCGATCATTTCCTTACCGTCTGTGTTGAATTACACACCTGACAATTCCAATGGTTCTTGGCCCCAGCAAATACAATGCTTTTGTCAAATCTCAAGTTATTTTCAAGTCTAAAAGTGCACAACGTAAGTCGTGATCCTATAATATCCTTCGACACAGTGGCTTCATGGCTTAAAGATTATATTATATTGTACCCAATACACACATATATATATATATAGAATAGAAAGAAAAGCGTCTGAGAAACAAGTATCCATTAATCAGGTACGGAGTTCCATTCTAACGAAACGGAAACAAGGCATACTGGGGTTCTTTGAACAATTCCTATCTAGCAGACACGTATCTAAAATTGCTCAGTGGGCAAAAACCAATCATACCTCCTAAATTCTAAATCAAGCCCATAAATGGGGAACTCGACACACAGTGTGTCCTTAGAGAAAAACGTGCCATGGATTCCATGAAAACTGAAATTGAACTTTTACTACTGCATGCGGAATCCCATAAACTGAAATTCAAAGAAATGGATGCAGAAATCATTGAAGAACATATGAAAACAACACAGGGAAAAGTTCTTGAATTGTTGCGGAAAGAATGGGACAGAGTATGTCAAATTGAAGAAGAAATATCTAACAAGCGATTAGAGAAAAACAAGAAATGGCGTACAATCTATGTCTCAAACGTCAACTCAAAAGAAGAAAATCCCTTCATAAAAGTCTAAAAACTGAGGGGAAATCCTATCCTGATGTGGCAAAAATAAAACCACCCCAATCACATTCTGTGAAACTGACTTGCAGAGGTCCTCTAACACGGAACTCCACATTCAGAGGATGCACAACTTCCAGAGGAGGAAGACCCACCCGAACAATCAACATCACCCAAGGCAGATCTTCAAACCAAAGGAGACAGCAAGACCAAGGTCGCCCAAGAAGTCCAAACTGCAATCGTCGGGGCCAAGGACAAGCCCCTGACAACAGGCGAGGACATTTCGAAACTCAAGGACGTGGTCGAGATCGAAATGAAGATGGATATCCACGCTTTAATAAAAAGGACTATAGTTCTTTTTTAGTGACAGCGCGGTTCCCCAAGGGAGGGGAAACTCAACAATAGAACCTAAAGTGATCAACTTATCTTGTGTAGATCTGACCGAGGAGGAAATGTCTGTATTACTTAAAGGTGTGAAGTTCACCCCTACCCCATTAAAACAGGATTTACATGAACTAGAAACAGATATGTCTGATTTTTGTAGAAAATTGAGATTACTAAATCCTTTTGATATTGATGCCAATAACGAAGATAATTCATTAGTTAGAAACAAAAGCACCTTCACTCCAAAACCTAGTAGTAACAAAGTGTTGGACATTGTTATTAACCGACTAACAGATTTAACCTTTACTGTAAACCCTCAAAGAGGTAAATCTAACATATCAAAAAATGAAGGAGCAGCTCTCAACAGATTATTAAAAAAAGAGTCAATTGTTATTAAAGAAGCCGATAAGGGACGCGCTATAATAATTATGGACAGTAAATATTACAAAGAACTCTCATGGGATACGTTAAAAGATGAATCTTGTTACAGAAAACTTTCAGACAGTTCTGAAAAATCTGTATTACTTAATCTTAAAAGATTAGTATATTCACATTCTCATGCCTTACTAAAAACGAGGAGGATTATTTAATTAATTTTGAATCGAAAGAAAGTTATATTTATGGCCTCACTACAGTTCATAAGAGCGCACAGATCCAAGAAAAATGTCGAACTTTGAATTCTGCTCATGTCAAAATAGCCCCCGTAAATGATTTAAAATTACGGCCAATAATTGCGGGACCAAAATGTCCCACACACAGAATCAGTGACCTTATGGATAAAGTGTTGAAACCAATAACTAAACATGTCAAGAGCTACATAAAAGATACCACTGATTTTCTGAACCAACTTCCCGCCTCAGTCGAAAATGGTACAAAGTTGGTCAGTTTTGATGTAGTCAGTTTATATTCAAACATTCCCAATTATCTCGGCATAGAAGCTATTGAATACTGGATAAATAAACACCGTTCGGAAATCCGAGAAGACATTATCTCCGAATTCATTATCGATAGTATTAAATTAATTCTAAATAATAATACTTTTAATTTTGATGGTTCTCATTACAAACAAATTAAGGCACTGCAATGGGGACAAAAATGGCCCCAACTTATGTAACCCCATTACTTGGTTATTTGGAGGAAAAACTGTACTCAAAAATTGAAGAAAGATTCGACATTGAATTTGGACAGGGTTTTCAAGATAAATGGAAAAGATTTTTAGATGATTGTTTTGTTCTGTGGAATCGGAATGAAAACGATCTGAAGTATTTGATAGATATTTTACAGACACTCCATCCAAGTTTAATCTTTACTTTAGAGATGAGCGATAACAATCTAGATGTAATAATCAAATTTTCGTTGTGTTCATGGAAATTCCTGCATTCTGATTAGCTGAATTGGTCACGTGTTATTGCCTTTATTTCCCAATGAATGTAAAGAAGTAAGCCACGCCCACCGCGGCGCACTAGTTTTATTACTGCGGAATGTCAGGGAATCCCAATATTACAGTCGAGGGAATTCCCTGTCTGCTCACGTGTATCGTCATGCACAGGACATTTAGCGACTTTCATGCATATTCATTTTCCAAACTACCCTTTGAAACCGAAGGCCGAGAATGAATGAAAAAGCAAACGTGCAGGCTCGCTCGCCTGTTTTTTCCCGCTCGCCTTGGTTCAACTTTCATGTCTTCGGGTTTCATTTCTAACTAGCATTTCTCCAACTGTGTTTTACCGTTATCAGGGAAGTAATGTTTGAATCACGCAGTAAATGACCATGTTATTTGAAACAGCCGCCTTCTCTAGGACATATCTTTTCCGGTTCGTTACAGTCTGACTGTTGCAGTTCTTTTCGCCTCTTGGCTTAATTGACAGGTCCAATGAACATTGTTTTAATCCCACTCTCCGTTGATTGGCTACTGACTGTGAAGGCGTGTCAAGTTATGTGCATAAATTAAACGATCACCTGATTCATGTCACGCCACTGTATGTATTCCTACACCTGGAATGTTTATCAATGCCGTCATTTTTGTCTGTTGTGATATATGCAACTGTTTTGGGTTAAACTATTGTAGATAAAACATGTTTTACGTTGTCGAATTTAATTATAAGCATTGACTGTATATTTTTTTCGGTTCATTGAGGTATGAATCGAAAAACCGATGTGCAAACTTTTGTAAGAATCCGCTATGCAATTTCAAACAATAACATTGAAACAGATGTATATTACAAACCAACCGATTCCAAGGCAATACCTCAATTAAAGGCTATCTAAATACAATGTTTATTCCTAATGCAGGATATTTACCATCCCCAAACACACAAGTATGATAACCTCTATATCCATCTATCTATCTATCTCGCTCTCTCTCTCTCTCTCTCTCTCTCTCTCTCTCTCTCTCTCTCTCTCTCTCTCTCTCTCTCTATATATATATATATATATATATATATATTTGGTACAATGTTTGAACTTACATTTATTAAGTAAGATAAACAACCACTGCTGTCCACCAGGACACTAGAAGACCCATTCCTTGTAGACACCGATGAGGGTGATGAGGGGAGGAAATCGTGCTTCGCCAATAAGTGGGGTTTTATGACATAAACAGCACAGGTTCGTTTGCACAGAAGCACAGGCGGCGTGGATATTCAGTGGATGTAAAATCAACAGAAATAAAGCAACGCCAAGGGACAAATTGGCGAAACTGTTTGAGTTTGCAATTGCACAAGTGCAAGTCTAAGAGGGTATAGTTCCACAATTGTCTTCATATTGTCTTCAATAGGCAATTTTCAAATGTGAGACGTTTTTGCTGGTTTCGTATGTAAAAGGACACTCACGTGTTCAGTACTATTAAACACGTTCTTATTTCTTTTCCGCTTTCATAAATGATCTGAAGGGTAATTCGTTGCACAGTATTATGACGGGGTATACACGCTGGTACGATCCTCGGAAATAATACGGTGCTTCGGCTTAGTTTCGCCAGAGAGGCGAAAATGAGAGTAACGTCACGTTCAAGATTATCGCACTTATATGGCAATGTGCATGCGCATGTACTACTCCGGACTAATGCCGATTTATAGGCTAGCCCACTGACACACGCAGTTTAACATTGATACCACACCTAGACACAGTGTACTGACACCGAGCAGACCAGTCCTTGTTGTAGCCCATTGATGCCGAGCGCCGGATAGGGTAACAACAGGTACCACCTTTTAACGACTTTTGGTATGGTCGAACCCCCAACCTTACACTCCGGGCGGACGCTGCAAAAACTAGAACACGGACACGGTCTATAGTCTCTTAAGAAATTGGGCATTCAGAGGGGCTATACGAGCCTGCAAGCCATGCCAAAGTTCCACACAACTTATAGTATTTCTCATAAGAGTAATTTACTAAATTGCTTAGATTGTTTGTCAAGTCAACGTTTCAACAGGAGATATTTATTCACCAACATTTACATCAATATATTCAGTCATAGCATGGTTTTTCACATCTCCTGGGGCAGCTTCCGCAGCACTTCTGGTCCCCGGGGCAGTCAAAGTCACCGTCACAGTACACAACGCAGGCCCCCGCATCATACTTTCTCTTTGGACAAGTTCCGGGCTTTTCTGGCCTGTAGCACCCCTGACACCCTGGCTTGCCGCAGCACTTCTTGTTTCCGGGGCAATCCTGGTCGTTGTGACACGCATTTCCTTTACAAGGGCCTCGTTTTATCACTGGGCAAATCCCTACACAATATAAATATTAACTTGTTAGCACATTTCAGTTTTCAACTTGTCAATAATATTTGTTATACAGTACATCTGCGAGGGTATATGAAAGAAACAACGTGTTTTGTAACATATAGCTTGTAAAGTGTGTAGCGATTCTTGGTCCAAGGTTGTGTCCCGTTGTCGTGGACGGATCCTGATCACCCTGAACATGACCCTTTCTTTTCAAACACTTCACAGGTCATGGTGTAATTATTTCATACTGTTTAATTGACTGAGAAGATGTTGTGATCGATGTTTAATGCTCACAAGCAGATATGTGTCGGCCCAATCAGGTCAAATCCTCTTCAATCAGCTTTTACTCGAACGCAAGGGGAAATATCAGGGACTAATGTTACCTCAGGATGCCAAAAAGAAAACAACACATTCCCTCAAACTTTCACTTAAGCAGCTTGATATGTCTTTGAATGCGTTTAATTTACCTGGCTTGGGTTTGGAGACACAGGTGATGATGCATCCAGACCTACAGCAGAAGTCCCCAGGACGGCAGTCACGGTCGCTGTAGCAGCTCTGATTGCACACAGGAATGAAGGTCCACCCAGGAGGACAGTCTGGAACAGTTGGTACAGGTGCATGGTTATTATGTACTGTTATAGACCTGTATGTTCAGCTGCAAGTGACACACACATATATCAAGATGAACCATTTACTGTTACCCCATCATCGGCACTGTGATACTAATTAAATTCGTATGTTGAGATAAAGCATTTTGGGTTTGTTTTAGTTTTGTAAAATATTAACAGTAAGCCTTAAGTGTTTTATCATATTAATTAAATTGTGTGCATTAACGTGCAATTAGAAGCATTTCTTTAGATTAGAAGATGTGAAGTTAACCAGGATAGCAAACTATATCAACAACATAAACATAAGATATGACATGTTCATTTCATAATATAAGTACTTGGTGAATGGCCCTTTTGGAAGTGACACGGTAGAATTAATTCACGTTTCACCTTTCACCTTCCCCAAGCATGCCAAACATACATCATAACATTGTTACACATTGAGGAATGAATTTTGTTTTGTGTTAGTCAGAAATAGATGCCTGCTATGGGACTGTTAGTGATCATGTTTGGACTGGGCGGACACGTTTCGCGGGTACATTTATCATTGGACCAATCAGGAACAGACTGTATAGCCACCAAGGGTGATAATATATCATCTGTGAGTCACTGTATATTTTGAAGTTATATTCTTCTCCTGGTAAGATATATCTATTTCAATGTGTATCAATATTATTGTAAAATAAAAATTCATGGATAAACATATTGTTAGTGTGTTCATTGCAGATGTGCATGAACGCGAACGTTTAGTGAACTTGGAGCTGACCGCAACCTTATGGCGCTTAATGTGAGCGGCATATCCTGAGAGTGAGAGTCAGTACATGTGCACTCAGGAATACCAAGCTACCTGACAGTAGGTAACATATATGTTACAATGGTCAACAACGGGCAGAAGAAGAGACAGTGCCAAAATATAAATAACTGTAATTAATCAGAGACATAGTTACACAGCTCGTTTAGGATGGCAGACAGTCAATGTACAATGAAATGGCGATTAATAATGGGGATGAACATTTTAAAGAAATTGCGATAAACTGATGCTTGGCAAAGACAGGTACAGAGTAGTTAACCTTTGTTCATTCAGACATTCAAATCGGTCGCTATGACAGTATCAGTATCAATATCTGGGGTGATTTGCTTTACCTGGGAGCGGTGGCCCATACCCAGTGGCAGTTCCCACAAGAGCCGCTGTACAAACAACCTGTAGACGTCAAACAAGTGATATATGCCATGCAAATACAACAGCTTGAATTTTAGATCAAGATTTATGCTCAGCAAAATTGCAACAGAACTGTGGATTCTAACACACCCAACAAGAGGGAAATGACCATGTTTTCATTGGTGAGTTTACGACAGCAATACGTACCAAACACAGGAGGAGATGCATGTTGCTGGTGGTCACATGATGGGAGCAGTTTGCTTATATAGGAGCCCAGAGTTGAAGGTGCGCTGGTCTGACATATATCACAGGTGTCAGTGACTCATCTGTAGGATTACTTTGCGTATTCAACAAATATATTGTTTTTTGCTTTATGAAAATGAGCAGTTTATGATTCAACATACAATCCCTCCATGTAATACATGTTGTTTTAAAACTAATGTGATTGTCTTACGCGATCTGGCTAAACATGTGGGTCATTAGAGCCAGTAAGTTCTTTTCATGGCATCACCTCTGGTTAATATTGGCGTGAAGTCTGCACACTGAACAGTAGATTTGTCACTTTTCCGTATACTATTAGGTGTTTGTTCTTAAAAATCAAATTTACAGAAAGGTGTTTTCTCAGGTATCATACAAAACAGTTTTTGTCGTGCTTAGAACAACGTGTTGGAAGCGTATCGGCTGCTACTTTGTCAACATAGTATGTTGCGGAACCTACTGTTTTATGTCAGTGTATGGTATTGTTTAACAGTGATTATTGTTGTGTTACATTGTTTCTGTTGGGATTCGGTTGGCGCTCATTGCATTGTGTTTGGGCAGTGATCAGTCGTCAGGAAGCTACTATGTTTAGATTCTAATGCGGTCTGTGAACCTCCGGTCTGGTTTGCCGCGGACGGTGATCGTATGTTATGGAAATTTATTTAATGTTCCAGTGACGATGGACTGTTGATGGCACTATACAGAACTATCCAGTGGCTGGGTAGATTGTATCTAAGGAGACACTGGCGTGTTTAATGATCTTTCACTCATTTCATCGCTTCGGAACAAGCTTTCATGTGAGGATCGTTCATCATCCCTGATTGCCTGCTTGGCCCATCTCGAAAGTTGATCACTGTTGCCGCTGGGTGAATATATATTATTATGACTGACTTTTGCTATCTCCTCTGTATTTGTTTATTTGATAGTGACCACAGACATCATATTATATACTGTCTCATTGAATATTGTGTTACCACTCTATTGTGTATCGCATTGTAATGGTGCTGATGTGTAAACCTAGTTAATTTTGTAATAATTTGTTGATTGTATACCACCTGTTGGTTGTGTGTTGGTTTCACACTACGTTCTGTCAGGTACAGATTGTTTCAATTTGAGAATCGACACGTGACAGGTCTCTCCATGTTTTCGATGCCGGGTGTTTGATGCAGGAAGTGAAAGGACATATCTGGTGTTTGATGCAGGAAGTGAAAGGACATATCTGGTGTTTGATGCAGGAATTGTAGCTCCTCGCTGGTGAAAGGCTGCCACTGTACAACGGCCAGGGAACATCATGCGGGGTTTAGAATTGGTTAAAGTGTTGTTAAGCTGACATGTCTTGACACGTGTCGTTATAGATGTTATTGCTGAGGTATATTGTGCATGGATTGCAAATCCTGTTATATACCCGAAGGCCGGTGTCTAACGTTGTAACATAAAAGTCAAGAGTATATGTGAGTTCATACATTTTTAGTTGCATCTACATTTAAAACATTGGACAGCATGTCCTTTCGTTACCCCACCAGCAGTCGGTCAGGGTGACCTACCTCGCCCTGCCTCAGGTCACATCAGTTGCAGTTGACAAGGTGCAATATCGACCCAAAAAGGTAAGGAAGGAAAAAAGTGTCAGTTTAATGCCACAGGATCGTGCTTCAGTGACCAACTGAGCTTCTTATTTGGGTAGTTGTAAGCCACGTTCCTAACGCTAACTACATAGGATGGTTAACGGTGACAATTCAAATAAATATAGCTATCTAGCTGCATAAGTTGAACTTTAAATTAAGTACAGTTATATGTGGGGCATATTTCCTCTGGGGTTTGTAACACATTACCACTGTGTGGAGCAATAGTTTCCCTGAGAGGATTGTTGGACTAGGGATAGAGCTGCTTGCCGAACGAGACGTGCACTGGACGTCTGGCACTGTGCGATGGGCTCTTTGCGTTCTGACCTCGTGGATAATAATTCATTTGAACAAGGCAAGTTCGGCAAGTACTCGAGTAAAACTGTATGTTGAAAAACCCGTGCATAATTTTTATCAAAATGAAATGACCCATGAGAGCAATTTCTGAAGGAAAGTTATAATAGGCGCCAAATACTATATACATGCTATCTACGACTGAAGAGTGTGATTAGGGACAATAGACTCTGGTTTCACTGAAGAGTTTCTGGTTTCTTTGTAGCTATTCTCAAAATGATAAAAATGATTCTTCTTGACTATGTTTCTAGGCTTATCAGAACCAAACTGTGCTATTCGTCTATGACCTGCATCACTTTTGGATTTCCTCCCACATTAAGCTGACGAGACTTGTTTTATAACTGATTCAGACCTGTACAATGACACAATACATACCTTACCATGACACAATTCATACCTGTACAATGACACTACATACCTGTACAGTGACACTGCATACCTGTACAATGACACAATGCATACCTGTACAATGACACTGCATACCTGTACAATGACACAATGCATACCTGTACAATGACACAATGCACACCTGTACAATGACACTGCATACCTGTACAATGACACAATGCATACCTGTACAATGACACTGCATACCTGTACAATGACACAATGCATACCCGTACAATGACACTGCATACCTGTACAATGACACAATGCATACCTGTACAATGACACAATGCACACCTGTACAATGACACTGCAAACCTGTACAATGACACAATGCATACCTGTACAATGACACAATGCATACCTGTACAATGACACTGCATACCTGTACAATGACACAATGCATACCTGTACAATGACACTGCATACCTGTACAATGACACAATGCAGCCATGTACAATGACACTGCATACCTGTACAATGACACAATGCATACCTGTACAATGACACAATGCATACCTGTACAATGACACTGCATACCTGTACAATGTCACAATGCATACCTGTACAATGACACTACATACCTGTACAATGACACAAAACATTCCTGTACAATGACACTGCATACCTGTACAATGACACTGCATACATGTACAATGACACAATGCATACATGAACAATAACACAATGCATACATGTACAATGCCACAATGTATACATGTACACTGACACATTACATACCTGTACAATGACACTGCATACCTGTACAATGACACTGCATATCTGTACAATGACACAATGCATACATGTACAATGACACCATACATACCTGTACAATGACACTGCATACCTGTACAATGACACTACATACCTGTACAATGACACAATACATACCTGTACAATGACACTGCATACCTGTACAATGACACAATGCATACCTGTACAATGACACAATGCATACATGAACAATGACACAATGCATACATGTACAATGACACAATGTATACATGTACAATGACACAATACATACGTGTACAATGACACTGCATACCTGTACAATGACACTACATACCTGTACAATGACACAATACATACCTGTACAATGCCACTGCATACCTGTACAATGACACAATGCATACCTGTACAATGACACCATACATACCTGTACAATGACACTGCATACATGTACAATGACACAATACATACCTGTACAATGACACTGCATACCTGTACAATGACACTGCATATATGTACAATGACACAATGCATACATGAACAATGACACAATGCATACATGTACACTGCCACAATGTATACATGTACAATGACACAATACATACCTGTACAATGACACTGCATACCTGTACAATGACACTGCATACATGTACAATGACACTGCATACATGTACAATGACACAATACATACATGCACAATGCCACAATGTATACATGTACAATGACACAATACATACCTGTACAATGACACTGCATACCTGTACAATGACACAATGCATACTTGTACAATGACACTGCATACATGTACACTGACACAATGCATACATGTACACTGCCACAATGTATACATGTACAATGACACAATACATACCTGTACAATGACACTGCATACCTGTACAATGACACTGCATACATGTACAATGACACTGCATACATGAACAATGACACAATGCATACATGTACAATGCCACAATGTATACATGTACAATGACACAATACATACCTGTACAATGACACTGCATACCTGTACAATGACACAATGCATACTTGTACAATGACACTGCATACATGTACACTGACACAATGCATACATGTACAATGACACAATACATACCTGTACAATGACACTGCATACCTGTACAATTACACTGCATACTTGTACAGTGACACTGCATACCTGTACAATGACACAATGCATACATGTACAATGACAATGCATACCTTTAAAACGACACAATGTGTACTTTACAGGGACAAGGTATGAACTTGTTTGACATCGGAGATTGAACTGTACACTGTGTCTTCGAAAAGCTTCAGCAAGACATATTTATTATATGTAACCATTTGGGATTTTATCGAAAAAAGTAAAATACAGTAAAATACGGTTATAACGAACTTAAAGGGACTACTAATTTTAGTTCGTTATAACCGTAGTTCGTTATAAGCATATATACAGCATAGCTACAGCATATAGTCAGGACCAAAAAAGTGAGTTCGTTTTATCCGTCAGTTCGTAATAAGTGTGTTCGTTATAACCGTAGTTTTCTGTATACCCAAAGGTTCTTTGAAAATATCATTTTACTTCAGACTGATATAATCTCTTTTTGTATAAAACTAGATTATCGCAAGGTATTTATTAATTATAAATCTGTATTAATCTTTACAATTATAGTTTTGTACACACGTTATTGGGTAAACACTATATCGTTACAGGATAAAATAAAAACTATTTCGTTATAAACTGTACACTATTCCTTTACAGGTTGATGCCTTTTCAATAGACGGACGACATGTCCCGATACAGGACCTCGACGATAAGAACCAGTTTAAGGTTGGAAGTTTAATCATGCCATGTTCTGTCATGTTTGTCATGTTCCGGCATCTCTAGAGATATGAACGTGCAACGTCACGTGGCATGATGT